ATGTCTTGTATAATACATTATACTGGAATTATCGGAATTCTGTTTGGTTGTGCGATATGGTATACAAATAATTATATGAAAACAATCGGTATTCCGAATTCAAAAGTGGCTGACATCAAAATTAATAATCGTTCCAATCGCACAATAATAATACATARTTATATAAACTGGAGAAGACGAATTTTTCCGTTATTGCCAAATGATGTTCATATTAATACTAATTTTTTAATTTTTTTTTAGAAATATGGTAAAAGTATACACGACGCTTATTATTAAAAATAAATTATTACCAAGAGATGATGGAGAGGATCCGAAGTTGTAGCTACGCTTCGTTGGCTTGTTTTCAGCGAACGCCGCAGCGACCAAAAGCAATGTAATACACAAGACCTGTACAAAAAATATAAAATAAGAGCAATGAAAAAATGGTTGGTCTAAAAGAAAATACAATTCGTCCGAGCGAGAATCGAAAAATATAATATTCTCAAAACGAACGGAATATCGAATAACGTTTGCTTGCCTTCATATTGACGGTGATATTATATCGGTGGTTATCTGATGAAGACGACTACGACGGTGTTCCGTTAATATGCTGCTCGAAGGTAGGTGCTCGTGCAGATGGTCAGAACGAATTGTGTCCAAGTGGTGCTCGGTCCGGCTTTAAATAGGGAACTTTTTGCACGCCGGGCGACATTAAAATCCCGAGAACCTGTAGAGAAAAAATAATTAATTGCTTACGGGGTGAGACGGGTACATATAACACCGCACGCCACCGTCATTGGCGGAGGATGACAGTGGGGATCTTCATATCCAGTTTTTTCCTCCCGTCCGAAGAAAACTAAAACTTGTTTGCAAACGCAATGGCTGCACGCCAAAATCTTTAAATCTTCTTCATTTCGTTCGGAAAAGAAAAAAATTAAATGTTCGYAAAAAGTTGTTTTGTTATAATCTCGCGTACGCCCAAGGCCTGTCCGTGGGATTACTTTTAATGTCCAATTACTATTTTATCATTTTTTTTTCCATCGACTCGCAATTTTATCTCCGAGTCAGTTGGTCTTCCCGCACGTTAGCGTTTGGATTCGGATCTCTTAAAAAAATTATATATTATACTTAATAACAGTTTTAAGGAAGTTATGCGAAATTCGCTAGTACATTTTTAATATCTGCAGCTTACTTAACAAGCATTCAAAGGTAGTTGTAGTCTATATTACGGAAATTAGGAGCCAGTCGGTATATTAACGCGTAAAAAAGTATACAAATTGATAACTATATAATGAAAATTCTGTTTTACAATACCTATTTAAATAGTTATAAATCTGTTTAAGGTAAACACATTAACAACATTTATTTAAATATCAATGAAAGTATTATAATTTTTGTTTGGTAAAAAAATTCATAGATTATTATACTCATTATAATGAGGCATACTATTTAGATTAATAAATTGGATAAAATAAAATGTATTAATATGGAAATGATTCGAGTTTAACAAAATAAAGATTCTTTAAAATTTAAAAAAAATGTTCAAATGTAATATTATTTCATTACATAATAAGTCACTTCTCAATTCGATCACTTAGGTTGAAAATTAACGTTGTACCTACTATTATATTAAATTTAAAAGAATTAATTAATCATAACCATCTTGAAATTACTATGAGTTGCGCATCGTTCACTAAAATAAATTGTCTTTATAATTAAATATTGTAGCAAATATAATATGGTATTATAAGTAACCTTGTATTTAAACTAAACATTCAACTCTAAATACAAATTACATCTAACAAATTATATCTACAGTCAGCAAGACACCTATTAAATATGAGTTACTAATAGTAAACAAGATAATTTCTAATAAATAGCTTCTTTGTATTAAACGTAACTTGTACCTAAAATGACTTAACATTAAGAATATAATTTGTTATGGATATTATTAATATGATTATAAAAATATAATATTATCTTCATAAAAAAAAAAAATAATAGTAATTAATTATTTTAGATTCGGAGCGAATATCTTAAAAATCTTAAGAATTATCTGTTTTTTTTTTTACGTTTTTAAATCACAATTTTTTTATCAGTCATCATCTTTTATAGCAAAATTAAAAATTATTTGATTTTTAAATTTGATTGTGAATTCTGACAAAAAATATTATCTAGTTAATACGTTGTAAAAAAGTTTGAAAATATATTACAGTATAAGTATACTCAAAAGCTATTATAATAGATTTTCAAAAATATTTAACATGCATAAGCAGGGTTTTTTTTAATACATTTGAAGTTAAAATGTTTAGGTACTATATTATGTAGTGTCGAAATCTGCAAATCATTTTTCAGTTGTACAGTTATAAAATATTTTTATAGCTATGATTTGAAAATTTAATACATAATTTATCAAGTTCATACTGAAATTAAAAGTCTAAAAAGTTTTTTCTTTAGACATCTAATGAAGTTCAAATTTATTTGGTTATTTTACTGTAAATAATTCAAAAATATTATTTTTATGGTCTTGAAGCTTTTACGTGTTATTATATTTTATATACACAATGACGTTTTAAGAACATTTAGTAACATTTTATGTAATTTTCTGCATTTATACCACGAACCTAATCATCGTTCTACCGTAAGTAGATATTAACTCAAATATACTTATTATACAAATATATACTATTAAAATAATTAATTAATAATAATATGCAATGTTTTCGGCAACAATTAATAATTCATCCTATCCTAATACTAATTGTAAAATAAATKATTATGTTAGGAATATAAATATATCACAAAATTAACTTATTAATAACTATGTTAATAATCTGTAACCATTCAGAAACATTTTTCGTATGCATTCAATGATTTATCATACGATAAAATTAAATTTAGATAAAATGCGGAGTGTGTGATGGACATGAAAAAATAGCATTTTATTTTCTCGTGTTCGCAGGAAAGTTTTATACATTTTTCTGACTATATGAAATCGTACAATTAATAGAATAAATATTAAATAATTTTGAAATTCAACAGAAAAATTGTATTTTCACCCATTTATTCGACACAACTGCTAGTTTTGTACATATTAAAAAGATATTGAGCAAAATAAATATTAATGTGGTTATAATGATAATTATGTTTACCATTTGGGTGATATACGTTGACTAATATACTATAAGTTTGCTTATTATTACTTTTTAAAGAAAATTAAGGAACTCTTTATTTTATTTTTCTTGCGTGGCGTCCATTAAATATTGTTATGTTTAAATTATTTTTATTTGCATTGAAAAATAAAAATGGAAGGATTAGCATTAGCATAGACTCAATAATATATTCCTATGGCTCGTCCAGCAAAACAGTTGTCAACAWCAAGTAGGGTATATGTATTATAGGTTATTGATTATTACGATTATAATCAGACTTCAGGAACAAATAAGTTAAGGTGTCACTAATTAGGGGTGAGTATAGTGTGTCACGCAAGCAAACAGTTCGCCACTACTGATCGATATCGTAGAAAAAAAAAGGGTGTCACTAACTATGTCTTGTATAAACAAAAGTTATTTAAAATGTATTTCGCTAAATATTGAACTAAATCCAAACCAGTTTGAAAATGGATTTTGTGGAATATCACTGTTTTTTTTTTCATATTCTCTGTTCTGCTAATCTGCTGGTGTGGGCATACGGTTTTGTGTTCTTTCGATAAAAAAAATAATATTATAATGAACATTCATATATATTTTTTTTAAATGCTATAATTTTTTTAATGCTTTTTTTTTCAATTTTAATCACGGTGGTTAGCTTGACGACAACGCTTGCTGCTGGTATATAATATAGTATGAACGTTAAAACGTCGAGTCGATCCGGCATGTTTGTGATCGATGTCATAAAAACTTAAAAACCGGTTTCGATAGCAAAATTTAAAATTGGCTTGACAAAAAATATTTCAAAACCCGTGTCAAATTTTCCTGCAATGAGATGCCGGTGCCAATTTAATTCACCGCGTGTGTTTAGTTTTTTCTCCTAAGTTACGTTTGAATATAGAAATATAATATATGTAATTTATTTTATAATATCGCGCGAGTGCAGGTACCAAACATGTTTTTTTCAGTATAATTTTACAGACTTGTAGACGCGGTTTATTATCTGTATACAATCGCATATATAATACCTAACCCTTCTCGTCGATTCCTGTTTGGCAAATCGAGAAAATAAAATGTCCAGGATTTAATCGACAACGGAAACAAACATGAATAATAAATGTAATCATAAAAAAAAAATATGCATAACGAGTTTGATGTTTAGATTGGTTTTTTAAAATACAACCCTTGACTCCTTATACTTTGCAATGGAGAAAATGTAACGGTCCAGATTTTTTTGTTTTTTTAAATCATGTTTAATATATACGATTACGTTACCCGAATCATCGTACTATCGAAAACAAGGACACATTTTAATATTTTATTATATAATACGACGATTTTACGATATTATATTCGTGCACATTAGATACTCATATAATAATAGGTATTCGTATTCTACGTCATATTAGTCATAATTACTTACAGTTAATGTTCCCTGCAATATAGAAATAAAATAAAAATGTATATTATTTTATTTTAATCATAATGTTTTGATACACTTGGGTGAGTTGAAGGATAATATTACAATAAATKTACAAGCTTAAATCAGTCAACACTATTTTTGTTTTTATATCTTGAAACTCTGCATACAGTTATATTTTTTAATCATATTTTAATAACGTTTTATAAAATGTAATTTAAAATGATATCGATAATTCTTTTGAYAACCCATATTAACCAGTTAACCATTACTACCCATATTTTATTCATTCGTATATTCTAGAATGTAACCCTAGTAGTTCAGTTATCTACTCGTAAGTAGGTAGGTACTTTTACCTAAACCTAAATAAAAAAATTGTCAATAACGTGTAAAGTTTAAGATAACGTAAAAAATATATAACTTTATAAGAGTCGAACAGCGCTATGTAAGAGCTAGTATAATGTGTTTTATATTAAAATAATGTATTATATACTATAACAGTTAGTCATTCAGAKAATCAAACAATTCAAACAGTTTAGATAATACATTTATATTTATAAATAAAATAATTGATAAATAACTATACCTCTTATAAGGAATAAACCAATATTATAATAATATAATAATATATAATATGTACTATAAAATTTGATGAAATATAGTTATTAYTAATAATGATACAAGTTTTGATAAATTTGTTATAATTTAAAAATGTCTTATTTTAATTTATATACAAAAAATATTATATTATCCAATACCTGTTTGAATCTTAGTTTATGAAATATTATYTTAGTATTGAATTCAATGCATATTAGTAATGTGAAATAGTTTTTTGAGAAATGTATTCTTTAGGCATGGATGATTGATATTTAATGTTAACTTCACTCATCTTACCAGCAGTACCTAAAACTTTGAAACTTTGAATCTTTGGATATAAGACGATAAGGTTAGTATTTGCCTGTTTTCTTCATGCATTTACTGTCAAAATGTATACTTCCTTATTTATTTTTTCAGTTCATACAGCACTAAACATAGTTTCACATTGCATAATATCCCTATATATTTAATAGGTATAGATGATTGTTGCTA